GTGCAAATAGATACAAAAAATGATTTATTATTAAAAAAATATATATTACAGATTGTGAACGAACCAGAAAGCAGAAAAAAGTCGCTTGCAAACAATTAAATAAAATATCTAATAAATAAAATGTGTATATAATAATAAAAAAAAAAATAAATATATATATAATAAATTGTGGCGGAACAAGAGAAACCAGAGAAATTTGCTTACATAAAAATACAAATAAATAAAAGCTTCAATTATTAAAAGAAAAAATAAATATATATATATATATATACATATATAGGTATATCAGATTGTGGAAGAATCAAACAGAGTAGGGAAACTCGCTTACATAGCAAAAAGTAGAAAACAAATATCAGATTGAGGAAGAACAAGGAAACAGTACGGAAAGTTCTTTAATATCAACATTTAAGCAAATATATATATACATATATTTATATTTATATATATATCGGATTGTGGAAAAACAAGCGAAAGCAGGAAAAGTCGCTAATAAAGCCAAGTTAGGCAAGACAATTGTTCCAATAAGTTATTTATATTTAGTTTTTATCTTTTTTGAAACCAAGATTGAAATATACCAAAAATTCCCTTCTTATAAAGTCTATATGGGTTTTTTCTTGAGTAAGAGATTGCAGCTCTACGAAATAGTTGTGTTTATTAAGACCTATTTCGTATTGCAGAATCCACATGCCAAATTTTCAGACTCCAGCAGAAATAAGCGATACCACGAGGCTAGCACACTTTTACAGGGTATCATCAAAAAGTTCGGGTACAACGTAATAAAAACGGGCAACTTTTTAGTGCAACGGAAAATGCAAAATGCATAACAACAATAACAACAATAACAACAACAAGGACAAGCAAATAAGTAGCAAGAAGCAGCAAAGGAAGAAGCAGCAGCAAAACTAGCATAACAACCAAAGCAAATTGGCGCAGACTTGAAGAAGTGCTTAACTAGATGTACAACATGTACATATTATATAATACAAATATCCCCGGCCATAACTAAAGAGCGCAAATTAATTCGACTGGCCCCGAAAAAAAAATAAAAATGTCTTTCGACCTCCCGCTGTGCCTTAATTGTGCAGAGGTCAAAGTTCGGCGACAAATTTAAATCTCAACTGTTGCCAAAAGGTGTGCTTCATTTACGGGGTATATAAGACAGGGCATGTATCCATATAATAGGGTATTAATAGTGCGTGGTGTACTTCGATTGAATGTGATTGATGTTACGAATAGAGGGAGACGTCTCTTAAGGCATATATATACATATATATATTCTCGATCAGCTCATTCGATATTAAGCATTTGGATGGTTTTGAAATTATATCAAAATTCTTAAATTCTTAAAATTTCTTATGTTATGAACATTTTGCTCACGAATTGCTCAGCTCATCAAGTTCCCCCCACAGATAGAAACATAATCTTAACAGCATCGGTAAACTATATCTATAACATTTGTGCTTTTCCGAGTTATTTCAGCTAATTCACACTTCATTCATCGTTGTACAATTCTGCAAGATCATGGATAACTAACTGTCCTCAAGGGTATTTCGTCTGCGGCATGCCCAAGCGTCGAGTTTTAGTTTGTTTTTTATAGCCTGAACCAATTGAAAATGATTTTAGTTGGGCATATTGACTTTGTGCGAATGTCTGTAACAGACAACAGAAGGCGTTGTCGATGCCGATACAGGATATAAAGTCTTGATCATGATATCATACGCAGCACGAGCTTATAATCATTTCGACATCCCTACTTATTTCCAGACTATCGATTTTTAAGTACAATTCGATATCTCTCCATATATACAAAATATTTATAAGAATCGCTTTTGAGATCTGGTTCTTTAAGCATCAAATATCCCCTATTTTCTTAAATATCGATGTCGATATCTTTATTTCCAAACTATCGATAAATCGATATCGATTTCCAGACCCGGTTCTCTAAGCACAGCTCGATATCTCGCCTAATTTCCCAAAAATCGATAAGTATAGATTTCGAAACTTGTTTTGTAGCCGCAACTCGATATCTCTCTCTATATTTTCAAACAATCGATAAGTATCGATTTGGGAGCTGGTTCTTTAAGAATAACTCAATATCTCTCCAAAATATCGATAAATATCGTTTTTAAAAATCTCACCCTTTTTATCAAACTATCGATAAATATCGATTTTGAGAAATGGTTTTTAACACACAATATACGACAAACTTGATTGAGATGAAGCACAGTCAGAGAACAGCTCCGTCTCTGGGTTGAGGGTATCTGGCAGTCGGTCACTGCCGACTGGCGCACTCCTACTTTGTTTCTTGCCATTATGTGTATCGCGAGCTGGCAAGTTGAGTGCCAGTTAAATAAGTATATAAGTCAGACGCGGTCGGGCCAGAGGAGATGGGAGATGGGGCGGTTAGGCGCCAGCTCTTCGCAACGATTCGGCGCGATTTAATCGTGACACCTGTCCAGCTGGTCAACTGTTTCGCTGTCGCTGGCCCAGTGACACGCTACGCCGGGCGGCATAATTAAAAGTTAAGTACCTGACCGGGAGACACAAACACACGCACACACACACACACACACACACACACACACACACTGGCTAAAACGGTTCTCCCTAGACGCAGCTAAACACAGACACAGCCAAAGAGAGGGCCGCACTATGCAGGGAAAGTGGACTAGGTCTCGTATACACAGGAACGCTGCAATTTTTTAGTGGCAAAATAAGAAAGGGGGCCTGTTAAATTGTTCACAAAAGAACTTAACGCAAATATGCTTTAATGAGCTGTCAGTAGCCTCTCAGGCGCCAGCCCAGGGTATCCTACATTTCTTACAGAGTGTGTCAAATTCCAGACTTCCAAAAGCTGAGTACATTTCGATAGACTCAAATATGCTGAAGATCGTCTCATATCTCTCTCTCTCTCTCTCTCTCAGTTAAACATGAAGCGAATCAATTCATTTCCTAATAGAACAGTCGAACATAATCCCGAATCGAATTATGTTTTGAAATATATGTAACGGACCACAGGACCTTCACTTAAACCTTATATAGATATATTGTTAATAAAGAGAACAAACTATTTTCACATCTCTGTCCATCTGTGTGCATGAGTTTATCTCGAGAACTTTAAAAGTGAAAGACTTGAAATTTTCAACATCTATTTTTCTTTATCTTATGCAAAACGAGCTTAGCATTTTTTTCTCGATATATTATCTCCATTTGCATTGTATCGATAAATATCGATGTTGGTCTTTGGTTTTTTTAAGCATAGCTCGAGAATTATGAGAGCTCTTGTGTGTATATATATATGTGTACAAACAAGTTATATTTCTCTTTTTGATAGTTCGCTCTTTTCCACTAAATATTAAAAAATATTAATAAAAAATTAGCTTTTACAGCTGGGTAGCATATTGAGACGCCTTAAACAGTTGCTGGAATAAAGCAATACTCTCCAGGTATTATATACCTTGAGTCTTAATCCATTTATATAAAGTTTCAATAGACTTGTTATTATGGGATAGCACCGAAAATATAGGTTCGTTGAGAAAGGCTTAAGAATATCCCCACAGTTCATATATAAGATATCCTCTCCGTAAGAGTATACAAAATGTGTCAATCCAAAACTAACTTTACGAAATGCCTCAATTGACCTCGCAGGTTGTCTACACACAAATACACACATACAGACATATATAAAGGGACGTCGACTGGTTGTCAACGTAAAGTCCTTGAATGAGTTTTGTGAGGTCGTAACTTCATTAAATACTAAACTTCTTCCAGGTGGGTTTGCATTTAAGTGGCATTTCCTGCTCGCAACTTGTTGTGGCTTATTGACTTAAAATGCCACGCCCCTCTCAATTAAACGCCTTTTGCTTGTGGTGCGAATAGTCGCACTCGCTTTAATTACTTACAGATAATTCGATTGTCCTTACGCTCAAATACACCCAAAGTCTCAATGAAGCTCTATGGAATATTCAAAGGCTGGCCGAACTATACCAAGCACTTAAATGACTTAATCTCTATATAAGTATATAAAACTGTTTGTCCTGACTGACTGACTGACTGACTGACTGACTGACTGACTGACTGACTGACTGATTGACTGACTGATTCACTGTAGTAACCTTATGTGAATTCCACCCGCGAGTGTGAAAAAATCGTGAAAAACATTTGTATGCAACTTTTTTTGTTTGCCATCCGATCGGCCTCAAACTTATGTTCAAAGATCTTACTTCAAATTCATTTGAGGGATGTTTCGCATTTTTTGGAAAATCCATGCCTCCTTTGTGGAAATGGATCAACATTAAAAATCACATTTATCGCAAAATCCAAAACTTCTTCGGTGGTAAGTGCAATTCAAAGATTTGCGATTTGCTTAAAAACTTAATTTTCAAAGCTCTGCATAAGAATTTAATGAAAACGTGTTTTTCAGCGATTTGCGAAATTCCACCCGCAACAGTGATAAATTGGCGGAAATCGTTTGTATGAAAGTTATTTGTTGACCATCCGATCAGTTTCAAAATCATTTTTGAAAGCTTTTTGCAAGGCCGGTATATACCCGCTAGTAGAAATATAAGCTAAAGAGGAAAAACATAATTTGTATCAATTTATTGCTACAACTCATCCAATTCCAAGGCGCTTGCTATGCGGCATATTCAGCACAGGCGACTTTCTCTAAAATCACTTTGAACAAAATAACAAAGGTTCCCTATTGGAAGAATATAGATGCATGAGTAAAAGCTGTTCGGGCTGATGATTACCTGTCTGATGGATTAATTGATAATAATTGATGTTATAGAAAAGGATCGAACCTTCGATGATTTAAAGGAAATACGATAATCTCGTTCACTAGAAGAACTTGCCCTTAAGACTCTCGCTCCTATAGACCCTAAGGTCGGACTTGATCGCCTCAGATGTTGATTTTGTGTCGTGCATATTTGCAATATATTCGTAAGATAAGCAGCCTTCGACTGAGTAGCCCTTGCTGAGTTGTTGTGTTACGGAGCTGACTGTGATAGTTTGCATTCATATATTTTAGTATCGTCTCTCAACAGCTGAGGCAACAACAACTAACTAAACAAAGTCTAAAACTCCGGCCACGGAACCAACTATTGACACAACGAAAAGGCAATTCGCGCCAGTTGATTCAATTTATTCACTAGACGAGCCAGTTCGTTTGAAAGAAACCCTTGATCGATTGGACTGATTGGAAGATATGGCGTATGTGGCCAGCAATGATCAGCATGGCAATGAGATAATGCGCGTCATGCTGTGCACGGAGCCGGGCAAGCGGACGGTCGCCTCGTGCCAGAATCTCCGAATCAATTGCAGTCCAGCCCGAACGCAGCCGGATACGCGGTAAGTTGTGCCTATCAGCGTGTTATTCCAATCAATATCTACTACCACTATCGGCTGTTCGCGTGTTGCCTGTGCTTGCGTTGCAGCCCGGGACGTTACGATCATCGCCATCGTTTCCATTATTTTGCGGATACCGCGCCCAGTCAGCGGCAGAATGTGCTCCTCATGCAGGAACAGCACATGGATCGACAACAGCAGCAGAGGGAGCGACAGCAGCAGCCAGAGAGGGAACAAAAGAAAAGGGGGCAGCAGGAGAAGACTCAGGTTCAGATACAGAAAAAGGAACACTTACAGCTAGAGAAGTCGCAATCGGAGAAGCCTCAGCCGCAGAAGTTGCAACTGGAAAGATCGCACTTTGAGAAGAAAGCTCTGTCGGAGAAGTCAGAACCGGAGAATTCGCAACCGGAGATGCAGTCGCAGCTAGTGAAGGCCCAGCTGGTGAAATCTCACTTGTCGAAGTCGCAGGCTGAGAAAAAATCACATCTGTCAAGTGCCCAACCGGAGACGCACTTGGAGGAGTCGCAATCGGAGAAGGAGTACTTGGAGAGGGAGTGCTTGGAGAAGGACTACTTGGAGAAGGTGTACTTGGAGAAGGAGTACTTGGAGAAGGAGTACTTGGAGAAGGAGTACTTGCAGAAGAGGAACTTGGAGAAGGAGTGCTTGGAGAAGGCGTATTTGGAGAAGGAGTACTTGGAGAAGGCGTATTTGAAGAAGTCGTGCTTGGAAAAGTCGTGCTTGGAGAAGTCGTACTCCGAGAAATCGCACTTGGAGAAGTCGCAGCCAGAAAAGTCGCAGCCAGAAAAGTCGCAGCCAGAGAAGTCGCAGCCAGAGAAGTCGCAGCCAGAGAAATCGCAGCCAGAGAAGTCGCAGCCAGCTAAGTCGCAATCGGAGAAGCAGCCTAAGCCGCAGAAGTTGCAACTGGAAAGATCGCACTTAAAGAAGTCGCAACCGGAGAAGTCGCAACCGGAGAATTCGCAACCGGAGATGCAGTCGCAGCTAGTGAATGCCCAGCTGGTGAAATCTCACTTGTCGAAGTCGCAGCCTGAGAAAAAATCACATCTGTCAAGTGCCCAACCGGAGACGCACTTGGAGGAGTCGCAATTGGAAATTGCGTACTTGGAGAAGGAGTGCTTGGAGAAGGACTACTTGGAGAAGGTGTACTTTGAGAAGGAGTACTTGGAGAAGGCGTATTTGAAGAAGTCGTGCTTGAAGAAGTCGTACTCCGAGAAATCGCACTTGGAGAAGTCGCTGGCAGAGAAGTCGCAGCCAGAGAAATCGCAGCCAGAGAAGTCGCAGCCAGCGAAGTCGCAACCGGAGAAGCAGCCTCAGCCGCAGAAGTTGCAACTGGAAAGATCGCACTTGAAGAAGTCGCAACCGGAGAAGTCGCAACTGGAGAAGTCGCAACCGGAGAAGTCGCAACCGGAGAAGTCGGAACCGGAGAATTCGCAACCGGAGATGCAGTCGCAGCTAGTGAAGGCCCAGCTGGTGAAATCTCACTTGTCGAAGTCGCAGCCTGAGAAAAAATCACATTTCGCAAGTGCCCAACCGGAGACGCACTTTGAGGAGTCGCAATCGGAGAAGGAGTACCTGGAGAAGGAGTGCTTGGAGAAGGAGTACTTGGAGAAGGAGTACTTGGAGAAGGACTATATGGAGAAGGTGTACTTGCAGAAGGCGTATTTGAAGAAGTCGTGCTTGAAGAAGTCGTGCTTGGAGAACTCGTACTCCGAGAAGTCCTACTCCGAGAGGTCGTACTCCGAGAAGTACTCCGAGAAGTCGTACTCCGAGAAATCGCACTTGGAGAAGTCGCAGCCAGAGATGTCGAAGCCAGAGAAGACGCAGCCAGAGAAGACGCAGCCAGAGAAATCGCAGCCAGAGAAATCGCAGCCAGAGAAGTCGCATTCGCAGAAGTCGCACTCGGAGAAGTCCCACTCGAAGAAAGCGCACGTAGAGAAGACGTACTTGGAGATGTCGCAGCCGAAAAAATCGCAATTGGAGAAGAAATACTTGGAAAAGTCGTGCTCGGAGAGATCGCTACTGGACAGATCGCTAGCCGGCAGATCGCTGCCGGGGCCTCCGCAGTCGGCGAAATGGAAACCGGAGAAGAGGCAGCCGGAGAAAGCGCAGCCGGAAAAGAGGTCACAGCCGGAGAAGGCGCGTTCGCAAATGCTGTACTCAGAGATGAATTCGGAGCCAGATAAAAAGCAAGAGAAGTCTCAACCGGAGTTGCCTAATCCAGAGAAGTCACAGCCGGTAAAGTCGCTGCCGGACAAGTCGCATCTGGATAGATCGCATTCGGAGAGAATGACACATCCCGAGAAGTCGCATCCAGTGATGTCGCAACCGGAAAAGAAGTCGCAAGGCGAAACTAATCCGCAACCAGAGAAAAGGTCGCATCCGGATATATCGCAACCGGAAAAGTCACTGCCAGAGGAAAAGTTGCAGCCGGAGTTTTTGGCGCCACCGATAAAGTCACAACCCGTGAAGCCACAGATTGAGACGAGGGAATATCGGAGCGTGGAAGAGCTGGCCCTGTGGAACAGCAGCGAGGTAATTGCGCATAGCACGCTGCTTTCTACGGTCAACAATTCGGAGGATAGGATCTACAGGAGAGGCAACAGTGCCGATGCCTCGTCCAAATCGCCAGACTCGCCCTTCTACGCCTGGCTGGCGGCCAAGAAGTAAGCTAAACCAACTCGAACCAACTCAGCTAACCCCAAATCCAAATCCAAATCGAACCTAACCCTCCAACCCACAGTGAACTGCAACAGCAGCTGGCCATGGATCGCCGCCTGTACTCGGAGCTGGAGGAACAGCGCGCAGTGGAACGGGCGCGCCTGGCGCAGCTGAAGTACGAGCGCTGGATACAGACCAAAACCAATCAGATGCGTCGCGCCAAATCCGATCTGAGCTCCGCACAGACAACGGCCAAATCGCGACAGTCGCTGCCCGCCGAGGAGGCGCAGCGTCGCCTCCTCGAATGGGAGCGCGAAAAGCGCTCCGAGCTCAAGGCGCAGCGACTCGAGCGCGAGGCGTGCCTGGCGCGCCAGAATCTAATCGATTCGACGCGACGCGAACTGAGCGCCGAGGCCTGGGAGCAGTGGGTATATGCCGCTCGGAATCGCCCCAAGCCGGTGGCCATGGGCCGGGGCATGGACTCGCTGCGCGCATCCAATGCGCCCCACTACCGCAATCCCAACGAGTGGCAGACGCTGTTGCCAACGTCCCGGACGGGACAGCCGGGACAGCCAGGACAGCCGGGACAGCCGGGACAGCTAGGGGCGCAGGTGCGCAGCGGACCCGACTATGAGCGGCTGGAGCGACTGGCACAGCCGCGACGGAAACTCTGGCGTCAGACCTTCAAGGAGCCGATCCGTCTGACGACCAAGGAATGCGGTGGGCCAACCAAGACGATGACGACGACGACGACAGTCGGCTCCGGCGGAGAGCACCGGGATACGGAGCGCTTGCGTCTAAGCGATGCCGCATCACAGACCCAGCCGGAGGAGGCGGAGCTGACGCTGCTCGAGGAGCGTCCAGCGGCTGCGACCAAGGATAGCTGCCAGTTGCGGCCGCAGCGTAGTCCCATCATCTGGAGCAAGAGCAATGCGCAGCGTGTGCGCGAAATGCGCAAGGTCGTCCAGACATCGGATTGTGGCCAGGGGCCGCGCCAGCTGCGCGACGATCAGCTGGAGCAGCTGCGCAAGCAGCAGGATATGCAGAATAGCAAAATATTGCCGCGCAAATTCCAACAGAAGCGCGAACAATTGCGCAAAAAACTGAAGGCCTGGGTCGAGGAGGGCAAGGCGCTGCCGGAGCGCAGCCTGAGCGACAGCTGTCGCAATCTGAAAGAGGAACTGAAACAGGAGCTGAGGCAGGAGTTGAAGCAACAGCAGCGACGCGCCGTCTATGTGGACGAGGCAGCGAATATTCAGCGGCATAATGTACGGAAAATGTCGCTCAACGAGTCGCGTATCCAACGCTCCGAGGAGCAATTGCAATCGATAGCCAGGAAATCGATTGCACCATTGCAGCGTGCACGCAGCACTGAGCCGAAGCGTCTGCTCATGGGCAAGGAGACCAAGGAGGCGCAGAAATCAAAACCCTGGCGCTAGTTTGTCTAGGACGTTAGCCAAAGTCTGAGGAACCCAACCAACCCGCTTCCTTCCATAACCCTTTATCCTCAACCCATTCCCTTAACGCCTTTCCTAACCTCCTCCCCTTGTAAAAACCTCCCGACTACCCCACACTTGATGATCTTCTCCTCTTCCTTCTATTACTCAACCCCTTACCCTAACTACACTCTCTCCCAACAATCCATCTTCCTGGACAACGCACCTCCCTCAACCTCCCACCTTAACCCCACCTTTCCTAACCCCACCTCACATAATCCTCATCCCTTCAGTTCCCACCTTCCTCCTTCCATTTCCCTTTAGCCACTTTCCCCATCCCTTCCCCACTCCCCTATCCCTTTCCCATTCCCATTCCCCTTCCCCTTCCCAACGATTCCCAAACATAGTTTTTTTTTTTACTTTTCCGTCGTATAATTTGCATAGATCTAAATTGAGGCTAGACCTATTTATTGTTGTTTTCCTAGGAGTTTTAGGAATTCTTGAATTTAGTTGCATTTGTGTGTAGTAAATTATAAATAATAAAAATCTCTAATATAGGAACCGAAGCAAAGGCAATCGATAATCGCCAATTGTCAGTCACAAAGAATGACAACTAAATGGAACTCGATTGAAAGCGTGAATCTACTTGGAAGAGGTGACCGACTGGAAGATATCCTCTACCCAGTTCGAGTCAGCGAGAAAAAATAAATATCCTTTATCTGTGTATTGAGATATGCTAAAATTTGGCCGTTCACAATCGATATTTATCGATTTTCTAGCTTGCCGATGAAGCTTGTTCAAATACTATATTCATTATCTCCAGCTCTTATCGATATCAATTTTTATTGAGCTCTCCGAAATAGGGCGAGTCATCGATGGTTTTAATGAAACGCGTTTTTTCGATACTTATCGATACTTATCGATGCCTATCGATACCTAGAAAAACGCTTGAGCAGCTAATCTATCGAGAGTTCATATTGAATTGAATGAAGTCTGAAGAGTTTGACGACTTGGCTCGATTTTTATTGATTTCATGAATATAGGCCGAGTTATCCAACTTTAAAATCTTTGGTTCCAAAAGCTTTCGACACATCGATACTTATCGATACCTTGAAAACCGCTTGAGCAGCTAATCTATCGAGAGTTTATATTGAATTCAATGAAGTCTGAAAAGTTAGACGACTTGGTTCTTCGCTCTGATCTAGTTTTTGGGATCTCAGATCCGACTTTGGCCCTCCTCAACGATTCGAAAATCGATATTTATCGTTCATTTAAAATACTCTTAAGCTGCGTACTGTAGCTAGAATTTATATTCAATATTTCAAGTCTGTAGCTCTTAAGTTCGATTTACCCATCGATTCGGCTGTTGAGGCTGAGGCCCAGAATATATATATATATATATATATATATGCTTTAAGGGATCGGAGAAGCCTTTCCGTTACAAACATTTTTTTTACATCGAATTTTGCATCCAAACAATGCAGTTCGATTCGTAGAAATGCAAACTGAACTATTCATGATTCCCTGTTTTAAATCCGGCCAACCAAATAGCTGTACGCCTTCCCCTAAAGCTACACTCCAAAAAAAAAGTTTCACTAATTTTAGAAAATTTTTATTGTCGAAAATTGTTTTTGTTTTTGAAAACTTGAGTCCAAAATATAATCTTTTCGTCAGTTTTGTGCCACAGTGCAAAAAATATTTTATTTTTGTTTTTTTTTTATCAATGTTTATTGTATTGAATCAAAATTGGCAGACATTTTTATAACAGCATTTTCTACTTTTCTGAAATTTTTTATAAATTCTGATTCAATTTTATTTAGTATTAAAATTTCTTATAAATTGTTAGAAAAGAAATTTCAACTTATCAGTAAGCTTATTAGCTCAGACCGAAGTTTTCAACTTTCGGGCTGTTCTTTTTTTTTTCTGAGTGTACCTAATCACAGCGGGCATATTGATTGGGGGAGGGGGGAGGTGCTTTGGTGTGGCAAGTGTTTGGTAATTACTTGCAGGATATATAGTGGCTAGTGGCTGGTGGATGGAGAGCTGGGGTGAGTGTGCATCCAGCTCAGACGATTACCTCAACGTGGCCGAAAGACAAAGACAAAGACATGAGCATGGAATGGTGTCAGCGGGCGTGGAGGAGGAGGGGGGGGGGGGGGGAGAGTAAATCGATACGGCTTAGGCCCCCGCGCCGTCGACCTGTTCGATCCGTTCGCATTGCTGGGGCTTCCAGTCGAGCTCTCTGCCCGGTTGGCGGTCCCAGCTGCGTCTCAGTCGTCAGCATGGAACGTTGGCGCAACAAAGTGGCCGTGGTGAGCGGCGCCAGCGCTGGCATCGGTGCCGCCTCTGCCCGCGCCTTGGTCGGTGCCGGTCTGTTGGTTGTGGGTCTGGCCAGACGCCAGGATCGAATCGAGCAGCTGCGCGCCCAGCTGCCGGTGTCGCAGCAACGGCGCCTGCACGCTATCCAATGCGATATAAGACACGAATCGCAAGTGCTGCAGGCATTCGAGTGGACCAAGCGACAGCTGGGCGGCGTACATGTGCTGGTCAGCAATGCGGGCATCATGGCCACCACGGAGCTGAGCGGTGCTGGCAATACGCAACCGATACGCGACACCATCGAGACGAACATAATGGGCAGTGTCTATTGCGTACGCGAGGCATTTCAGGCGATGCGGCAGGATGAGCAGCAGCCGGGCCATGTGATCATTGTTAACAGCGTGGCGGGTCAGCAGGTGCCAAATCTGGGCGCACAGCTGCCCTCGCTGAACATCTATCCGGCGAGCAAGTTTGCTTTGCGCGCCATGCAGGAGATCTATCGGCAGGAGTTCCAGCGTCACAAGACCCAAGTCCGCGTCTCGGTAAGTGTGGACCTTAGAGATGCGTCGGTTAATCAAATATAAATGACTCAAATATTATATCGATTTAATCGACTCGAGTCTGCGAGCTTCAAACGTTAAGCCATTCAAACGTGCTTCGAACTGTTCGAGCAGGTTCGAGTTCGAACTGTTCGAGCAAATATACATTTAGCTCGAGCAAAACCCAGCCTCTTCACTTGATCAGCTCTGGTTCGAGTCGACCGAATCAATTTGTTTTTGTCTGCAACTCGACAAATTTGAGTAACGCACAAATTTGAGTATTGACACGCACGACTAAAAGCTTTTTGCGTGTATCTGCAATGTATTGTGGTTGACATTTGCCCAGGCAAATACTTCGCCTGCAACTTACACTGCGATTGCATATTTTCAACAGAAGACAAAACTTCGTTTGAATCATCATCATCGCAACATCTTTGAGCTAGCAACATGTTCGAGCACAAATAACACAAATCGAACACAATCGAATGAACGAATGGCGATGTTTGAAGCCAGCTCGCGCGATCAGCTTGAGCTCGAATCAATTAGCAATTACTTTGCCTGCCAGCAACTGCATTCAAACGTAGTTCGAGCATGTTCGAGTTCGATCATCTCGAGTCAGCAACATGTTGGACGTTTTTCGATTGACTCAATGCATTTAGCCAGGCAAATACGTTGCCATCCAGAGCTCTACGCTTACCAATTTTTTTTTGGCAATATTCCTAATGAAATTCGAACGCGTTTTATGTGCTCAACATTCGTTAGGCTCGTGTTCGTGTTGGGCACGCGACCATCTCTAGTGGTGTGTGTGTGTGTGTGTGTGTCACATTATTTTTGTGTTGCCATTGCAGACCATCAGTCCAGGCATTGTCGACACGGACATCTTGCCCGAGCAGCTGCAGGGCGTCATCAAGCAGCACATGCCCATGCTGCGCGCCGAGGATGTCGCCGATGCCATACTCTGGACCATTGGCACGCCAGCCAATGTGCAGGTCAGTTCCTTAACTCGGCTCTCTCTCTCTCTCTCTCTCTCTCTCTCTAACCAAATGCTTCTTCTACTTTTGGCAGGTGCAAAACATCACCATCAAGCCGCAGGGTGAAAAGTTTTAGGCGCAGTTCGCATTTGACTTTATGCATATAGAAACATTATATTGATGAACCAAATATATACACTAATCACGGCATGGTAAAGGGTATATTGGGTTTGTGACTCTCTAGCTAGAGACCTATAATGATTCATTAATTTCGTTTTGGGTTCGAACCAGCTACCTGCCTTTAGGTTGGTTCGCTGCGACGCTCATTTTAAATAGCAATACGAATGCCTGGCTCGAACCGGTTCGGTTCCAAAACTTGCCTTCTTGCCCCTAATTCCATTACCCAGACCAATCAGCCCGAATGCTGTGGCCTTCAACCTCCAGATGGCCCAAAGTCAAATATGCTACAAGGATTTTCTGGCCAAGAAAACCTGTTCCAGCCGACCCCAAGGGACGGCCGCTGAGCGAAATCAACTTGATTGAAGCTCATGTAGCTGAGTGTAACTGTGTGTGTGTGTGTGTGTGTGTGTGTGTGTGTTCAGAGTCTGAATTTTCGGGGTCTTATATGATCAATCCTGGCCACACACACACACACACACACGCACACACACACACATCGATCAGGGGCACATCGGAGGTGCAATTGTTGAATCAGCAGAAGAAGAAGATGAACAACAACAACAACAACAAAATATGGAGAAAATCAAAAAGAAAAATTTGCATTTGTGTTTTTGTTGAAAATGAAGCAGGTGCCTTGCCTTGCAGCTGGTTGCGAAGCTGGGACAAGCAGCTCATTGGATTGGCAAACATGGCCGGCCGGTCGGCAACGAGCCAAAGTTGTTGCCCCAAAAGCACAAAGTGTGGCGAGAGGGGGCAAGAGGGGAGGGGGGGGGGGGGGGGGGGGTAGCTGGGCTGGAGTCGGCTGCAGCCGCAAAACATTGCAAGCAGCTCAATTTGTTGGCCAAAATGTGGGCTCCCTTTTTACCCAGCACTCAAATCAACAGCAGCAGCAGCTGCTGCACTTGCTCCAGCCTCCATTTCTGTCTCTCTCGCTCTCTCTCACTCGCTCATTTTATCTCTGGGGCATCGATTCATGTGTGTGTGTGTGTGTGTGGCATGTGTGTTGGGGCATGCATTTCAGCAAAAGTGCTGCGTCCTGTTGCCGGACCAACAAAAAATGTCTCTGAGCGACACAATGGAAATGGATTAAAAGGATAAGTGAGCGTCGGGGGGCGTCGGGGGGCGTCGGGGGGGGCGTGTAGGCTGCGTATCGGCCTTATAAATCCAAACCCAAACCCAATCCCAATCCCACCCGTCTCCCCTCGCATTGTCTGCGCTGCGGTCTAATGACCAGACAGTTGACCTGCGCCTGGGGCTTCGGAGCCTTTCACAAAGTCAACGGGTAACATGGAGCTGCAATTCCCCAGCCGAGAATTGTAGGTGTTCCAGCTATTGTTAGCCTAATTGAATTAGGCCAAGAAAAAAAAAAATACACACACAACAAAAACTTGACAGCCGAGTTAAGCCAAGCGAGATGCGCCCCGGCAAGATGCTGCAGTCGAGCTTTGCGAAGCTCTTCGGTTGTGAACTGTTCAAAATTGTATTTGTAATTAACACTCACCTCACCGCACACACACAAGCACACACACACACACACACACACACTGAATGCCGCAGGTCGGCTGTGTGCAACAGCATCTGAAGACCAGTGTTGTGCAATTTTGTTTGTAAAGCTTTTTAGCTGCATTTAACACGTCAGCACACAAAGTGCTGCTGGGCAAATTCCCGAAAATATTCAACGAATTCCAATGCAGCATCAACAGCTTTAAGAATATGTAAAAGCTTTAAGCTCATTTCAGGTGATATAAGCTTTTGCTGAAAGCTCGACTCTCTGTGTGGCATGTTTATAAAGCGCTTTAAAGTTGTAAGTGCATTAAATAAAGCATATTTTAAGGCGCAAGCCAGCTTAAAAGGCACGTTTTAAGTGAAAGCTTGGCGGAGGGCTTTGAAAGCTGCCAACAGTTGTAGACAAATTTGAAAGCAACTGAAAGCTGTCAAGCTCGTTAAAACATATCTTAAAGAGTAAAGTAAGCAAATATCCTGAAGCTTTAAGCTTCCTTTTCCTTTATTGTCTTCGAATAATCTGTGAAAGTTTCATGGCGCTTAACAAACGGATTAATGAAGCGCATAAGTTGGTTCTGTATTAAGTAAAAGCTTTGGCTGAAAGCTCGACTGTTTGTAGTGAATCCTTAAAATCACTTTCAAGCTTTCAGTTTAATAAATAAAGCGTATTATAAAGTAAAAGCCGTCTTAAAAGGCAAGCTTTTTAGTGACAGAGTGTCTGAAAACAAGCTTTCAAAGCTCCTAAATGTTCTATATGACTTTAAAAGCTCATCAAGCTTCTAAGCTTGAGAGAGCAAAGCTGAAAGTGTAAAGTAAGCTTGTTTTGTGAAGTTTTAAGCTTTTGAGCTTTAAACAAAAGCTTTTGACAAGAATTTGGCTGAATGCTCGACTAACTGTATTGCATGTTTTAAAAGCGCATTAAAGCTTTAGTGTCAAAAGTCAAGCTTTTAATCGAAAGCTTGGCTGAAAAGCAACTTTTGAAGCTCCCAAAAGTCCTAGACGACTTTAAAATCGTGAGAACATGGCTAAAATTGTAAATGAATCAAATGTAGTGAAGCACTGAGCTTTAAAGAACAGCTTTTTGCAATGATGGAAAAGCTTTGACTGAAAGCTCGATTAGGTGCAGGACTTTTGTTCAGTTTTAGTCTCTCTCTAACCTTATGTAATGTTCCTTAAATAACTTAAATAAGTTTCTGTGGAGCTTTAAGATTTATGCTAAAAGCTCATTTAGTGCCATTTAATTGGACTATTTGTTGCACCTGCCATAAGTTCACATAAGTTAATATGTTTGAGCCATCTCCTGCTAATTCTGCAAAGCTTTAAGCTTTGGAGCTTTAAACGAAAGCTTTTTGTAATGAAACTATGAATTTCTTTTATTGTCTTTGTCTGATTTGTGAAGTATTCATGGTGCTTAAGGCTGGCTGACTTAACTGTTCAACATGGCGGTCAACAGGTGGACAAACGGGAGAACGGACGTATTTTGTGCGCGGGGGACGGGGTGGATAGTCAAAGCTTTTGGATTAAAAAAAGTAAAAGCTTTGCAGGTAGCATCACTTGCGCCGCCGCTGCAAATGCACCGAATCGATAGCGTCGAGACGCCGGCGCAGAGCGCGCTGCGCCGCCGAGAGGGGGACATGCAGATACAAGGAGGCGAGCTGCTCCTGCAGCTTGCGCTGCTCCAGCTGCTGCTGCTGCTGCTGCTGCTGCTGCTGCTGCTGCTGCTGCTGCTGCTGCCTGACGCTGCGTATGCGTTGCCTGAGCGCCGCGGCCGCCGTCGACTTGCTCTGCTGCTGCAGATGTTGCTGCTGCTGCTGCTGCTGCTGCTGCTGCCAGTGTAGCTCGGTCTGGAGGCCGGGATTGGTTTGCGCCTTGACCGCCAGCTGGGCGAGCCAGCGCTCCCAGGCCAGCTGCGACAGCTGGCGGCGCAGCTGCTCATGGACGCGCTGCTCCTGCTCGGCGCGCATCTCCGCGTCGCGCCGCTGCTCCAGCTCCTGTTGCTTGCGCATCTGCCACTGGGCCAAAGACTGCTGCGCAAGTTCGCGCCGCTTGCGCTGCGCCTCCGCCAGTGCGCCGGACAGCCGGTCGCTGCAGTGCACCCGCCGCTTGCCGTGCAGCCAATCCTCATAGCACTTCTCCGACATCTGTTGGCGCATCTGCTTCAGGCTGTGCAGCCGGTGCGCCTCGCGTCGGCTCTGCCGGCGTCGCAGCGACTCCTGTTTCCTGTCATTTTTCTCGTTTTAGTTATTTACTCTACGATTTTTTTTATTTTCTAACTGACTTACTTTTTCGACTGCAGCCACTGGTCAAAGGTCAGGCGACGCTCTGCCGCGCCACTGCTCTCCGACTGCAGCAGCGACTGCGACTGCAGCGGCAGCGGCAGCGGCAGCGACTGCGAGTGACCCACCACCTGCCCGCTGGCTGCGTTCAAGTGTTGCGTTTCTAGCCAGTAGCTGCTGCCGCTGCCAACGCCGCTGCCGCTGCCGCTGCCAACGCCGCTGCCGCTGCCGCTGCCTCGACTGCTGTAGCTTTGCTGCGGCGACTGCATTCGCAGCGACGACGGCGTCGGCGACGGCGGCGGCAACATCATTTCGACAACACGCGTCGGCGTCGGCGTCGGCGGCGGCGGCGGCGGCGTGGAGACGCGTCGCGGCTGGGTGACCGCCTGGCGGGCCAGGCGACCCGACGAGCTGCTCGAACGGCCGCCCGCCTGCCGTCGGCCCTGCACCAGCACCGGACAGTTGTCAGTCTCTGTCGCTGTCGCAGTCGCAGTCGCTGTCGCAGTCGCAGTCGGCACGCCCTGCATCGTCTCGCGCAGTCGCAGCCGCAGCGTGGGATACACCTTCGGCTGGCCGCCGGCAAACGGATCGAATCTGACATTCGGTCTCTGATCCTGCGCCTGCGCCTGCGCCGGCGGCGGCGGCGGCGGCGTCCCCGCCCCTGGCCCCGCCCCTGGCGCGTTCCTGCTGCTGTTGCTTGGGCCGTTCTCCTCAGTCTCCGCCACAGTCATCGCTTGCACCAGCCAAAGCTTTTCAGCTGACCAATCAAATTTTTGCCTATGTTGAGTCGAGTTGCAAAAGCAAAAAAACAACAAATTTTTGTATTATTTTTTTTGACAAAATTTTGAATTTTCTGACAGTTGAAATGAAACGAAAGAGAGAGAAAAAAGAAGTGTGTGAGTGAAAGAGAGGGATAGAGTGAGGTAAAAGCTCGAAGAAAAAGAGCTTTCTTTCTCTAAGAAAATATGTGTTGAATTCAAGCCAGTTAAGTGAGCTTTAAGCTTTTATGAGCTTTTATATCAATGTGCTTTCTAGGCGAGGTAGAGAGTTAGAGAGGGAAAGAGAGAGATAGCATTAGTCTAAAAGCTCAAGTTGCGTCGGTAAGAAAATGTGTTGAATGCCAGCCAGTAAAAGAGCTTTAAGCTTTTATGGGCTTTTAAGTCAAGGAGATAGAGAGTGAAAGATATTGTAAAAGCTCACCAATAGATTAATCCATAAGAAAACATATGTTAAATACAAGCCATTAATTTGAGCTTAAAGCTTTTGTGATCTTTTTCAAAGCTTTGTAGGCAACTAGCTTTAAGCAATAGCCTTAGTTTGTACTCAGCTTGTCGAGCTTTCTGTTTTGGCTTAAGCTAAGCTGAGCTTTCAACGCTTTTTAAACAGCTCAGTTATAAACTCAGCTAGAACTGAGTTTGACGAGCTTTGAGCGTTAACTCTCCACTTCAATTGAATTTTTACTTTCCATTTTCTATACGGTTTTTTTTACTCTCTAAACTCTAGTCTCTGCTCTGGAATCGCCTCCATAAGCCTTACATCTAGTTTATAGTCTCCATTCTAACCACATCTCTACACATTATTCTCTATTCTACGCTCTCTTTCATAAACATTTAATCTACCTGCTGTCCTCCACTCCACTCGCATTTTAACTTTTCATTTTTGCACTGTTATAACTTAATTGCAAACAATTTTCTCCATGAAACTTTCATTTCGATTGTAGTCTCCATACTACACACATCTCTACAATCTACCTTTCTTACCTTCAATTTTACTCTCCACTTCATTTCCTGTGCTCTCCACGTTTTATTCTCTGCTCTACAAATATTCTCGTTTATTCACTCGAATCCTTACTCTCCACTTTCTGCTCTCTACTACAACTAGTCAAATCTCGATTAACTACTGTTTAACCATAATTTGTACTATCCACTTCATTCCCTCAACTCTCCACGCTTTATTCTGTGCTCTACACTCTCATCCATAAACTCTTCATTAAGTTTCTAGTCTCCATTCCACACAAATGTCTACTATCTACATTTTTTTTTCGTAATTTCTACTCTCCACATCATTTCCTGTACTCTCCACGCTTTATTCTCCACAACTATCTACTTCATTACCCCTTCTCTCCGCCATTTATTCATCTCATCTCTACATTTTCTTCTCCATAGGCATTTTGTCTCCACTCTACACGCATTTTTTTTTTTTTGTATTTTTTTTCGGTTTTGCTTTTTTCCCCATCTCTCCACACTTTATTCCCTAGTCTACGCTCTCTCATCCACAAATATTCCATCTGGTTCCTCCACTCGGATCTTTACTCTCCACTTATCAAATCTCTCCATTTCTGCCTCGCCCTCTCTCCCCTCGTCTCTGACTCTGAGTTCATGTCAGGTGGTAGTTTCTAGTCTCCATTCATTACAAATATCAACTATCTACATTTTTGTCTTACTTTCTGCTCTCCACTTCATTACCCCTTCTCTCCACCCTTTATTCTCTTCTCCATAGGCAGTTTGTCTCCACTCTACTCGCATCTATTTTTTTTTTTTGTATTTTCTCCACTGGTTTTGCTTTTTTCCCCATCTCTCCACACTTTATTGCCTACTCTACGCTCTCGTATCCACAAATATTCCATCTAGTTCCTTCACTCGGATCTTTACTCTCCACTTATCAAATCTCTCCATTTCTGCCTCGCCCTCTCTCCCCTCGTCTCTGACTCTGAGTTCATGTCAGGTGTTTTTTTGTTCTAGTTATTTTCCCTTTAAGCTGCAATGCGTTGACATGGGCGGGGCTTGGGCTGGCCAAGGGTCGCAGCACCTGGGCAGCCAGGTGAAGGTCGCTACATCCATCAAGTATTTGACGTTGTCGTTGTCGTAGTCGTTGTCAAATGGCAACAATAACAATAACAACAACTTTAACAACAACAACAACAACAACAACAACGATAACAAAAGGCGCATTTGCCTTTATTTTTGTCTTCGCCGCGTTCTCGTTGACTGAGTTGCTAACAAATTGTTGTGGGCGGGGGGCGGGGACGGGGCGGCGACTGCGACGTGCAGCACAGGTGCAACTGCAGCAACAACAACAACAACAACAACAACAACAACGCGAGTCGCTTATAAAAGCGGCAAAATATTTCATTGCAGTCAGTCGGAACGTCAAAGCCACGCCCCGACCGTTAACGCCGCCCACACGCAGGCGACATTTATTTGTTTTATTTTAATTGCAGCTACGCAGCGACAGCAGCAGCGACGTCAGCAGCGACGTCAGCAGCGATGCGGCTGCCAAGGCAACTATTGTGAATGGCTGCAGCTGCAGTGCACGGGCAGAGAGAGCACGCGTGAGTGCGAGCGAGAGGACGCGAGCGTGACAGAGCGAATGCGAGTGTTCGTGAGGGGAGGGGGTGGGGGGGGGGGTTGCTTTTCGGGTCTCACTTGACATTTAACTGTTAACTTGTGAACTGACAAACTGTCAACTGTGAATTGCCAGGCTGAAGCCAGCGTCGACGTCGCTGCCGACGCTGACGCTGACGCCAAATAATAATAACATTTTAATTAAATAAAAGCTTCAAGAGTTGACGCGCTGCTGTTTAGAGTTGTCAGCTGGCTTTGACAGAAGTTGAGCTCCCTGTGCCACGCCCCTACCCAGCCACGCCCTTCGCCCAGTTTTGGGCCCCGCTGGTGTGGCCAGGTTAACGCAATTAGGCAAAATAATATCGAAAATCGAAATGTATATTGAGAAGATTTTATACAAATTTTTAAAAATTAATTAACCCAAGAAAGTACAGTAGGCACTCGCTAACTTTGATTTTTAGTTTTAACGAAATTTCGATTTATTTTTTTTTAAACTATATATTTATTGAAATTTAAGAATATAAACTCTGATTATTTCCCTATGTTTACCCAAATAGATAAATTATCGATAATAATAATTAGGTATTTCTTCATTTGTTGTTCACATTCTAATTTATATATTTCTTTATCTTTTTCATTCCAGAAAGATCTGAACGATGAATGACTTAATTTTAGCTTTGGTAAGTTTCATTTTCTTGACATTGATTGTTTTGCCTATATTTACCCAAAATCGATAAATTATCGATAACGAGCATATTATTAATTATTTATTACATTAGATTTGCACATTATCTCTATGTTTGTCGTGACGGACTGATTGATTGACAGCATAACTGATTGACTAACCGACTGAAGGTGCACGTCAGGTTGGGAATGCGGGAAATTCCACCCGCAAGTGTGGAAAAATCGCGAAAAACGCGTGTATGAAACCTTTTTGCTTACCATCCGATCGGCCTCTAACTCAGATCTTTGAGAGAATTTATTTTATACGTTCCACGGCCAAGGCCGGTATATAACTGTTATTATCCTGTGTAGACATAGGCCAAAATTTCCCACCCTTATAAGTCGGTCAAATCTCATCCGATTTTCACGAGGTTTGACATTTTGTTCATGGTTTGGCCTCCTTATCAAATTGGCATTTAAGTCTGGCAACATTATTCTTGGTCCTAATTCATGTTACAGTGTACCCTCAAATATCATATGTAGACAAAGGTCAAAATTTCCCACCCCCATAAGTCGGTCAAATCTCATCCGATTTTCACGAGGTTTGGCTCTTTGTTCATGGCTTGGCCTCCTTATCAAATTGGCATTACAGTCTTCCAACATTATTCTTGGTCTAAATGCATGTTACAGTGGTACCCTCTAATATCGTATATAGACATGGGCCAAAATTTCCCACCCCCATAAGTCGGTCAAATCTCATCCGATTTTCAAGAGGTTTGGCTCTTTGTTCACGGTTTGGCCTCCTTATCAAATTGGCATCAAGGTCTGGCAACATAATTCTTGGTCTAAATGCATGTTACAGTGGTTCCCTCAAATATCGTATATAGACAAAGGTCAAAATTTCCCACCCCCATAAGTCGGTCAAATCCCATCCGATTTGTTTACCTGCCTGTGATGTGCAGGTGTCTATTGTTTTTCGTATTTTTGTGCGATGCGAGTTCGGTTTGGTTGTTTTTGCGATGGCCACATTCAATCGAATGCGATTGCATTCGATGTCGTTCGAATGAGTCGCACCTTCAGCATCGATTGGCTTGTAAAAATTGTAGCAAATGCGTTTACAGAAAAACAAGAAGAAGACAATGCCGCACATAAATTGTCAATTGCAATTGCAGCAAAGCGACACAGCGTCAGATTTCGCCGAGCTGGCAGCTGAAACGAACCACAGCTACTACACCCTGTGCCAGGCACCACCCTGTGCCAGTGTTGCCAACTGCAACTGCATCCAATGTTGGGAAAGGCCAACAAATAGTTTAAAATAGCTTAATTCGCTTTCTCTCTGTTAATAAGATGTTTTCTAGAGATAAACTAGTTTAGCCAAACTTAGCTCGAAAATAACTAGCCACATTAAGCGGAAAAAAAAAGCTAGATTGTCGATACATACAAAAAGGTGAATTGGCCAAATTTTTCTTACAATAGATTGAAACAGGATCTAAGCCACATTGAGCCGAATCGGCCACATTTAGCAGGAAAATAGCTATATCTCGATGGTTATATTTAGCATGGAAATAAATAGATCTAATATATATGGTAGGCAAATATCCGGTAAATTGGCAATAAAAACCAAATTTTAGCGGGAAATTAGTAATAACGATAATCGACCAAATTATCGGGAAAATAGCTAGATTAATCCATTTTTCGGGCACCCAGCATATTTATTGCGCATA